GAGGGATTAGGGGAAGATCAGAATAAGGAAGAATGGGTGGATGAGTGGATAATGGGTCCATAGGAGCAAACAGGAAGATGGGCATACAGGAGTTGAATAGATTCTTGCCCCAGCACAAGCTTGGCTGAACAAACCCCTGGGACAGTTGGGAGTTCTCTGTCAGTGGGTCCTATCAGTTGACAGGTTAGAAGGGGCCATCTCCATCACAGTTTAACTGTCCATCTCCTTATGGGGTCCAGGTGAGGAAATTACACCCATTTCTTGATCTTTTATCTCTGATATCTATTAGGACTGGTTTCCTTATATAATCTTAATATACTTGTGGAGTTCTACAATATCAATTCCCTTAGATAAATTTATAGATTGGCATCTGTTTTCCTTCCAGGAATGCCATTTATCAGTCTATGCTGTGTGGCTGGTACTGGACAGATGGTTCCATTTGCATATGAAACCAGGTGAATAGTCATGCTCCATCATCAAAATGGAGTCAAATACTGATTGTAAAATGGAATCTTGATCAGAATTCATAGGGATAAAGGTCTCCAAAGGTAGTGTAGGAGGATCTTCTGTCTATGTTGTACTTTTATTGGTCAAATAAAGAAACTGCCTTGGTCTTTTGATAGGACTGCAGCTTAGATAGGTGGAGTAAACCGAACAGAATGCTGGGAGAAAGAAAACAGAGTCAGGCAGACGCTATGGCTCTCCTCTACGAGACAGATGTAGGTTAGACTCATCCCGGTAAGCTACAGTCTCGTGGTGACATACAGATTACTATAAATGGATTAATTAAAATGTGAGAGTTAGCCAAGAAGAGGCTAGACATAATGGGACAGACAGTGCTTAAATGAATACAGTTTCCATGTAATTATTTTGGGTGTAAAGCTAGCCGGGAACTGGGTAGCGGGAAGAGGCCTGCTGCTCCTTTTACAACACATTTGCAAGGTGGAGTCTGGGAATTCATTCTTTTATACAATATGGAGCAACTTAGAACAGATTAGTTTGTTCTCAACAGATACTCCTGGGGTAGGAATGATGGAAGTCTGTGTTTGGATACTTTCTGTCCCTAAGGTATGTAACTAATGTATGCTTGGACATGTCATCCCACTATAGTTATTGATGTAGAAGTGTGTGTGTGCCCTTGCAGGATGAAAACCTCCATTACACTTGACACAGATCAGAGAAACGTCATCTCTGAGTGTTATCCACAGTCTCCTTGATGTAGAAAGGAAAGGTTTGCTTGGAAAGAAAACTCCTCCCTAAATTCAGAGATGCAAAGTAGAGAAGGAGAACCTTGGTATACAGCCCTTGAATTCTGGTAAGGACCCACTTACAGGCTTTGCAACTCCTCCCTGCTCTCCTGGGGGAGAAGTGAATGATCTTCCACTGTTTTAGGCAGTATGGACTGAGTCCTGAATGCCTGGTTTATATATGCCCTATGAGATTTATAATGGTATTTTCCTTTTACAGAGAAAGTGACAGAAGCAGAGAAGTTCAGCTCAAAGTTAGTCAACTCAGTCAAGAATTTATGCCTGAGATCAACTGCAATGGTATTTTTTTTCATAAAGCATTTCGGTGATTCCATTATCTTCTAGAATGGGTGAAAGTTCTGGTTGTGGGGAAATGCAGGCTTCCTACCCAGAGTCTTAAATCCACTTGCCTTGCTTCCCACCATTGTATAGACTATGCATTCTATTCAACCAAATCCCCCCTCTCTCTAGGCCATGCTTTCATCCACCCCTCCCTTCTTCCATGTTTTGCAGTATTCTTTCAGCCTCTGATTATCAGTTCCTATTGGGAGATGTCATGGTGAAGTCAAATCTCCCATCGAAGAGTTGCTTGTTCCCCGTGGACATTCGAAGAGTAAGCGCTAAGCATGTTCTCTTGAGATTTTTCACCCGAGAGGCCAAGTTACAGTCTCCTGAGTCACAATATCAAATATGAGATCTGGGTGCAGTGATTCCAAGTTCTTCAAGGAGCGATTCACCAAGGCCCATGACTCCATGCTGTGTAATGTTATAAATCAGCACTGAGTCACTAAATCATATTCTGAGGGACTTTCGATCCGTGTTAAAAGTACTGATAACGAAGTGTGAAATCCTAGAGAAGTAAGAGACACAGCCTCTGCGTGTGTTGTGTGCCTGTTAGAGGATTTCCTTCACAATTCTTATCCCTGATGGCTGAAGATGCTGTGGAAGACAGATACCGCTGCACTCAGGCGTCGTTGGTGCGGCCGAGTAATTTGGATTAAGAGGCATTTTGGTTTGATGCCTACTAATTTTTTCTTGTTTCTCATTTGAGAGGAGAGAAGATGATGATTTCAGGATTAGTGCTTCACATACATTAACCATCAAATCCTAGAAGGTTCTGTCTCGTGTAGTAGGTCAGTGAGTCCAACTCTTACCTTTCTTCATGTACAAGGTGAAGCTTAAAGAAGAGATCCTGCCTAATACTACCTGTTAGAGTTGTTCAGAACAATGTAAGAGGGTTTTAGTAATTGAGAAAGCATTTATGGCCAGTTTGTCTTAACCCTCATGACAGCTCTTTTGCTTTTGCCTTTTAAATAGTGTGTTTTTCATTTTCTCATAGCAATTTCATACATGTATGAAGAACAGTCTCATGTCAGTACTTGCGTACAGTGTGTGATGATCACATCAGAACAATTGGTGTTTATGTCATCTCAGACATTTATCATTCCTTTTAGCTGGGACATTCCCAATCTTTACAAGCTATATTAGCTATACTGAAATGCACAATGAATTGTCCACTCTAGCCATACTATCATGCTAGTAAAGACAGTTTTATTCTGTTGTACATTGCTAGTTTGTTCAATAAAAGTTTAAAAAAATAAAACGATATTTTTAAAAAATTCATAACCAATCATTTTATATATTTAGAACTGAGTATACATGAATTTTGGATTTCTCAGAGACTATATTACCTGTTGTAGGAGGTGTGTGTGTGTGTGTGTGTGTGTGTGTGTGTGTGTGTGTGTATGTGTGTGAGTGCTTATATGAATGTGGAGGCCAGTTTCAAAGTTGTGTTCCTCAGGAGCTTGGTTTTTGATACAAGGCCTTACACTGAGTCTTGGAGCTTGCTGATTAGAATCTTTTGGTTCACCAGCAAGTTTCTAGGAACTTCTTATCTCTTCTTGCTCAGAATAGGGATTAGAAGTGTACACCACAAGTCACACTTTAGTGATTGAACTTCAGGTCTTCAGGCTTGCAGAGCAAGCACATGGCCAATGGAGCTATCACCTCAGCTATCACCCCACTCCAATTTTAGGAGTTTTTTTTTCTGACAGTCCAAATATGCACAAGTATTTGATTTTGATACAGGCAATTGACTTGAATCTATGACCACAGGCCAACTCAAGAATAAACAATGTTTTTTCTACTCTTTACCAATGTCCTACAGATCTGCTCTAAAGGTCATGTTATACATCTTCAGATGGCTGTGTCTCTCTGTAATCCTGGCTACCTCATCTCCCTTGGTCAACTTCCTGTGTGTTTCAGAATATCACAAAGAGAGCAGAAGGCTCCATTCCAACCCTGTGGCACCATTCCAGGACCTTCTGAGTTGAGCACATCAATCTTCATCCTTTTGTTTTTTTCCCTCTCACCCTCGTGGTCCTTCTACCATGACAACCTGTGGTTATTGTTGCTATCTCTTCTTGACATCTATACACAAAGGGGTTCTCTCATTTAATTTCCCAAGCCATATCTTATTACATCTCAGTCCCCCCCCACTGTTATGACTGGCTTCCCCTTTCTTTTAGATACCCTTTTCATAAAGATAGAGCCTATATTTTCCTAATTTCTCTTATTCTAGAAATATTGTTGTAATATTTCTTATGATCCAGGGACTGTTGCAGGCATTGTGCATATATGCGAGAAGCCAACAAAAATCTTCAGTCTCCAGTTGTACTTCTGTATGTGGTAGGATTTTTATATAGAAAATACTATGTCAGTTGGCAATAGAAGGAAACGTAGGGGTAGAGATAAAAGAGAAAGCCCTGGTATGTGCCAGAGATATCTTTTGTGTGCCATACATGTAAAGACTCAAGTCTGTTTTATGCAATGCCTTTAACTCTCAGTTTTAGAAGCTAACAGAACAGCAGTGGCTGTACAATGCCCGGCAAAAGGCATCTACTTGATGAGGGCTTGCTGAGTTAGTACTTAATGATTTCATGAACTTTCTGATGTAGAAGAAGTCAGGGAGAGGGGCAAGAGAGAAGGGGGAGTAGAGAGTGGGAACTTTTTGACAAAAGTTTCATAATGACCCTCAGATGAACTTTTCCTTTGGTTATCAAGGTCACAAGGAGGTACCCTAGTATCTAGTCCTAAAAAAAAAAAACAAAAACACTCTTAGATAAATTCCAAGAGAGGTGACCATTTCCATTCTAGGCTGGAACTACTAAGCTCTAAACTCATTAAAGCATGTTGTTGTCACCTAATATAGATAAATTTAGTACACAAACATTCTAAGAGTTTATATGAAATGCTAACCATTGTCTGTCAAACTACCCTAATTTCAAATGCAGTGGGTATTTCAAACAAGTGTGCAGAACACTGGTATAACTGAATGATTAATTTATCTTTTCTACATGTTATCTTCCATGTTTTAAAATTTTATATTTAATACAGTTAAGTAAAACATATATCTCTAACAATAAGATGAGATCAGAAATAGAGTTTTTGTATTATTTGTATTGTATAAATTATTTGTATTTATTTTAGGAATATGATTTAATTCAAAGTGTAGGGCGTATAGCCTTCAAAAGAATTTGACAGCATTTTATTATTTAAAGACTAAATTTCTAAGTCAAAATCTTTATTTTCCCCTTTTATGTATAAAAGATTTATAATCTTAGTGTTTAGTCATTCTAGAATTGAAATGGATAATTGTGTGAGAAGAAGATGGACTTTTCCTGTGGCTCTCTGGCAAAATTCCTCAGGTGAATGGAAGCTGGGGCCGGAACTGTGACTCTGAACCAGCCCAGGGCTCTACTCCAGCCATGAGAGGGAGGAATGACAGCTCTGTGACTGAGTTCATCCTCTTGGGATTTTCCAACTACCCTGAGCTTCAGCAGCAGATGTTTGGGGCTTTCTTGGTTATTTATCTGGTGACTCTGATAGGAAATGCCCTCATTATGTCTGTCATCTTCCTGGACCAGAGCCTGCACATCCCCATGTACCTGTTCCTGCAGAACTTGTCAGCAGTGGAAACCGGATTCAGCACAGCCGTCATGCCTGAAATGCTGGTGGTCCTGACCACTGAGAAAGCCACCATTTCCTTTGGGGGCTGTTTTGCACAGATGTATTTCATTCTTCTCTTTGGTGGGACTGAGTGTTTTCTCCTGGGGGCAATGGCTTATGACCGATTTGCTGCAATCTGCCATCCTCTGTCCTACCCGGTCATTATGAACAAAGGAGTTTTTATGAAGTTAGTGATGTGCTCATGGCTGTCAGGAACCATGATGACCAGTCTGCAGACCACATGGGTGTTTAGTTTCCCCTTCTGTGGCTCCAATGAGATCAATCACATCTCCTGTGAAACTCCAGCAGTGCTGGAGCTTGCATGCGCTGACATTTTTTTCTTTGAAATTTATGCCTTCACAGGCACCATTTTGATCATTTTGACTCCCTTCCTGTTGATTCTCTTGTCTTACATCCGAATTCTCTTTGCCATTCTGAAGATGCCATCCTCGACAGGGAGGCAGAAGGCCTTTTCCACGTGTGCCTCTCATCTCACGTCTGTCACCCTCTTCTACGGCACAGCCTGCATGACCTATTTGCAGCCCAAATCCAGGTACTCACCAGACACCAAGAAACTGATGTCATTGGCTTACTCTCTGCTCACCCCTCTACTGAATCCACTCATCTACAGCCTGAGGAACAAGGAGATGAAAAGGGCCGTGGTGAAATTATGGGAAAGAAAAGTGGTTTTCAACACAACCTGATTTGCTGAGGAGTCATGTGACATTCAGATATACTGTAATTGACTGTGTATAAATTAAGACCAAGAAAACCCAAATTTCTCAGTGAGAATATGTTTAATTCTTTCTTAAATACCTCTTTATTTTTTATGCTTTTAAATCTTTTAAATTTTGTTTTTATACAATATTTTATAATCTAGTCTGAAAATTTAATATAATTTTTTTAATTCTTTATTTCTAAAACTTTTTTAACATTTTAAAATTCCTTGAATTTATTTTAAAATTGTTCATATCATATTTTAATACATAATCAAGTATTCCCTCTCTTTTAACCCTATAGTCTATTGTTTTTAAGATGTATATGTTTATTGATTTATTTCTGTACTGTTGATAGATACAGGTCATTGTAGAACGTTGCCATTAAGACAATACTTCAATAAACACGTAGTTCTGAATGTTCTTCTGCTTTGTGATCTATTAATTCTACGGCAGATTCCTGAAATGACAGCCGCCGGGATGAGACCTGCTGTGGTTATATATTTTAACCATCATTGTGAGGTGGCCCACCCGACACATGGAAATTCATGGCAGAAAGCTCTAGAGCTCAAGGCTAGCTTGTTTTCATAAGTTCAAGGGTAGCCTGAAGTTCATAGTGAAACTCTCTCTCTGCGTTGTGCTTTTGGTTGAATATGTAAGCACTCAGCTTCCTGTTATCCTGACTGGCGCTCGCTGCCGTGCTTGCTTGCCATGATGGACTCATCCCTCTGGATCTATAAGCGCAGATAAATTCTTCTATAATTTGCCTTGGTCATTGTGTTTTAGCATAGCCACAGGAAAATATCGAACATAGAAGTTGGCACCAGAGAGTGGCGTGCTATGAAGTACCTGACCATATTGCTGTTTGACGGAAGGTAGACGACTTTGAACTTTGGGCTAGAAAAGTGGTTGAATTCTGCTGCAAGCAGAGCTTAAAGGGCCATTTCCTGCAAGCAACAACTTAGCTTCCCCTACTGTGGCCACAGGGAAATTAACCATCTCTTCTGTGAGACTCCCCCAGTGCTGGAGCTTGCATGTGCAGACACGTTCCTGTTTGAAGTCTATGCCTTCACGGGCACCATTTTGATTGTCATGGTCCCCTGTTGATACTCTTGTCTTATACTCGGATTCTCTTCGCCATCCTGAGGATGCCATCCACCACAGGGAGGCAGAAGGCCTTTTCCACGTGTGCCTCTCATCTCACGTCTGTCACCCTCTTCTATGGCACGGCCAGTATAACTTACCTACAGCCCAAATCCAGGTACTCACCGGACACCAAGAAACTGATGTCATTGGCTTACACCCTGCTCACCCCTCTGCTGAATCCACTCATCTACAGCCTGAGGAACAAGGAGATGAAAAGGGCTGTGGTGAAATTATGGCAAAGAAAAGTTGCTGAGGTTTTACACACCATGTGAGTGTCTGAGGTTTTACACCGTCTGAGTTGCTGTGGTTTTACACACCATCTGAGTTGCAGAGAGGCCATGTGCTATTTGGAAATCACCAACAGAAACTCTACTTTAGATTAGCAAATCATGGAAAAGGGATTTTTCTCTCCATACTTTAGTCATTTGTTTTCAAGAAATATGTACTTTTTTTTTTTTGGCTCAGTAGATTTCAAAAGGAAGGAAAGAATTAACAGCAACTATATGTGACGATTTCCTGTGATATTTTGGTAAAGAATCTGACCACTTTCTTAAAAAACTTGCCCGAGGCTAAATTATAAAATAATGGATTACTAATAAAGACAGTATAAACATTGAATCTCTAATATGATTGTTATTGATAACAATGAACAAGTGTGGCAGAAAGAAATAAAAAAATGTACATCTTGGAAAGAAAAATAACACTAGGAAACTTAATGTTACAGCCAAGATGTGTGTTGGAAGACAGGTGGTAAAGGTTAAGATTAGTGCCATTAGGCTGAGGCTTTCTGTGCGCTGGAATAAAAGGGAGGGCGCCCTCTGGGCAAGACCTCATCTGACTAAGCTAATTTGTGAAAAACAGCCCAAGGGGTCTTCTGCTCCAAGGAAGCAAAAACAAACAAAAGCTTAAGCTAATGTGGTTCAAAGACTAGGGTCCATCTAGGCTCAGAGAGAACTTGATAGTGTTATCCACGTGGTGCTGGCTTTAGAGGCATGAAGGATGAGGGTCCATCTAGGCTCACGGAGAACTGCGTGGAGGATTCAGGAGTGAAGCAGTTGAGAATTATTCTTCCATAATTTCCAAGAGCTACTGATGCCACGCAGCATGTGTCAGGGGAGTCCCTGCATGAAAGCCCTGAGAAGCCCTTGTGTGAAGCTATGAAAATAAAACCTGGGCTGCAGTGCGGATTCCAAGATGCTGGAGATGCCAGAGTCAGAATAAAGAGAATGGTACCAGTTCAAGAGAGAGATGTCTGTGTCAGCAGCAAAGCTGGGCTGTTGAGCCATCTAAGCCCCTTGATATTCATTGGACATGGAGCGATAGGAGCTGTTTTCCTTGCTTGTGTTAAGTAAAAATAATAAGAAAAGGGCAGGTCCGCTGGTGCAAGCAATCCATTTAGGCCAAATCAAACCACATCAAAATGCCCATCATTTTATTAAGAATGATGCTCTCGGGTGGCTGAGGGCATGGCGGGGAGACTGGACAACAGGGAGCCCACGCATACCTGAAGTACATGTTTCTCCTCTGGAAGCTCACTGAAATACCCTGTGGGAGTGGTCCTGGAATGATGGGATTTGGAGTCCAGAGCAATGCAACTCCCAGGTCACGTTGGCTGGGATGGATGCCAGGGGCTGAGGGCTATGTTCCCAATTTAACAGCTTGGTTCAGCTCTTTAGTGAGGTATTTCTTACTACACTCCATTCTTCTCTTTTGAAATGGAAATGTATATTCTGTGTAATTTTAAGTTGTAAGTTCGTGACATGCATTTTGATTTTGAAGGAGTTACAACTAAGATATTGCCTTGGGTCTTAGAAGAGACTTTAGACTTTTAAACAATGCTGAGGCTGTGAGAGACTATGGGGATTTATGAATTTGAACTAAATTCATTTTGCATTGTAATATAGGGTCCCCAGGGAGTGGAGTGTGGTGGTTTAAATGAGAGGTGCTCCCCCTAGTTTCCACTGCTTGAATCCTTCACCCAGTTTGGTGGCCTTGTTTGGAGGGAGTTCAGGAGATGTGGACTTGCTGAGGAGATGTGTCACTGGGAGCAAGTTTTGAGATTAAAAAGCCCCTGACCACCACATCCAGTTCACCATCTTTGCTTTGTGCTTGTGACTGAGGAGGTGAATGCTCAGCTCCCTGCTCCTGCCAGTACGTCAACCTTGCCCGCCATGCTTCCCTACCACGACAGACTCATCCCTCAACAACTGTAATCTCAAACAAGCTTTCTCCAGAACAAGACAAAACACAAGGGCAGAGCATGACGCTTAAATATAGAGAACGTGTTGGCATGCTCGAAGTCCTGGGTTTAATACCCAGCATCACAAAGCACTCAAGAAACAAATACACCGTGTGGTTTCAGAACAGCTGCTGTTCTTTGTAGGTTACTACAGTGTCCTGGGCCTTGGCGAGTCATGTGTCTAGACTGTTTCAGGGCATCAACAGGGTGATTTTTATTTCTAGAGAGATGATTTGTTTAGTCAAAAGGGTTGGAAAAAAAAAAGCATTTTCTTGGGAAGGCGCAGAGTACTGCTGCTTCACGGATCCACACAAATAATTTTCCTCAGTGGAACACAATTCCAGATTACCATTCCTGAAATTCCCTAACTATTCTGGTGTTCCAGGAGCTGAGTTTACATCCCATTGGGATTAAATCCTCATGACCTGCAGGATTCTAAATATCCCGGCTCCAAACCCCATTTCAGGCTCATTTCCACCGCCTGTTCTCAGCAGCACCTGTGCTAGTCAGAATCTCCAGGAAGCAGACGCAGAGGGGCAATGAGGTTTGGAAACACCTCGGATGAAATAGTGTCAAGGGGCACTAGACAGGAGGAGCCCTGTGAGGGTCAAGTAGGCCTGGCTCAGATGTCTGTTGTGTAAGAAGGTCTAAAGGCCTTCCTGGCCACAAGTTCCGTAGAGTGGTAACCCACTCCTGGTTCTAGACTTTTCATTTAGTGACCTTTGACCGCTGGGAGTGCCTTCTGTCACTCTGGCAGGGAGTCTACCGTGTGTAAATGCCCTGACTTTTTATGTTTATGGGCACAGACTTTTTATTTTTCCTGAGACAGGCTCTCTCTGTAGCTTTGGAGCCTATCATGGCTGACCTCGAACTCACAGAGATCCAGCCTGTCTCTGCCTCCTGAGTGCACGGATTAAAGGTGTGTGCCACCACTGCCCAGCTGGGCACAGACTTTCATAGTATTTTCTCAACCCCCTTGTCAGGTATTGATGTGGAGAAGAAATATTATTTTTTTAACCATTAAATTAAGTCTTTAACAATTGCCAAAATAAAAATAGAATGATTTTTATTAACAAGCTTACTTAGGAAACATTAAGATATGTAGGAATGAGAAAACAAATTAAGACACTCTGCCTCTAATATAAGACATCAACAACTAATAAGTTAGTCTTAGAGAATGTAGAATTATATAAAAGTAATATAAGTCAAAGCTTTGTTTCTAACATAGTTATATAATTTGTTTAAGTATTTAATTTAAATAAAATTCTTTAAATACGTTAACCCTGCTTTTGTAAGCCTGCTTGCTGAAGCCTCTTCCTCTCTCCTGAAGAAGCAAACGCCTGCTCCTCTCCCTTGAGAAGTGACCAGCACTGGTAACTGCTCAGTCGGAGCATTCTATGGGCTAAAGGTAAAATCTGTCCTAACCGGAAGCTACAGTTATTGTTCTTTAAAAAAGATATGATGGGATGCCCTGAGCAGCCTGCAAGGCAGGCAGAAGCTGCTGCCAGAGCAATGCAGGTTCCCCGGGCAAGTGGCAGGGTCAGGCGGCTGGATGCGGTGGACGGCAGAGTAAATGGACATAAGGCTATACATAAAGCTAAACATTTACTACTTAAAGAAGAGGGAGACATTTATTACTTAAAAAGAGGGAGACAGAGAGACATGGAGACAGACATAGAGAGA